GGTCGTCCCCCTCAACAGTATCTAAAGCGGTATCCTTATTATTGAGGGGAACGACCACAGGGGATCCCTGCACTGTCTGCCTATTCCCTTTCCCTCTCCTGACGGCACCCAGCTACCTTTATCCTGTAACTTAGGTTTGACTATCTCCCCATAACTCCTCTCTATCACCCCCTCAGTCTCCTGAATGACCCGGAGTTCATCCAGCTCCAGCTCAAGTTCCCTTACGTTGTCTGTGAGGAGCTGGAGTTGGGTGCACTTCTTGCAGGTGAAATCACCAGGGACACTTGTGGTGACCCTTACCTCCCACATCCTACAAGAGGAGCATGCAACTGCCCTAGCTTCCACCTCTCTGCTCTAAATTGCCAAAAGAAATAAAGAGAAAGGAAAAAGCAAAAAAAGAAAAAACATCCTCACCTTACCGACCCTTCACACAAGAGTATTTTTGGTTAGAGGTTAGAGGTTAGAGGTATTATTGGTTAGAGGAGGAGGATAGGTGGGAGACAATACACACGTAGTGTGATATAGATTCAGCTATACTAAATTCACCAACTCCTTTTTATCAACTCTGTTAATAATATTCTCATAAAGTTGCCATCAGGTTCATCAAACAAGATTTGTCATTCAAAATTCCATGCTGATTATGCTCAATCAGATCATTATTATCCAGGTGTCTATTTATTGCATCCTTTGTAACAGATTCTAACATTCCTTTACTACATGGATAGAAAGCTGACAGATCTATAGTTCCTCAATTTTGCTATACTATTTTCTTAAATTGTGAGATGACATCTGCTACTTTCCTGGAAGCATTCCAGAATTTGTAGACATTTGGAAGAAGTTTACTAATGCGTCTATTGTCTCCACAGATATCTTCTGCAGCACTCTAAAATATAAAGTATCATGTTTCAACATCAGCATTCAGTCCCATTAATTTTGTTCAAATTTTCACTCACCCTCATCCCTTGGAAATCTACTTCTGGGAGATTTCTTGCATGTTACTCAAGTGAAGGCCAACATAAAGTAATCATTTACTTTCTCTGTTATTTCTCATTTCCCCATTATAAATTTTCCTGACTCTGCTTTAATTATCCCACATTTGTCTTAGGCAGTTGTTTCCTCCATATATACTTATATAAGCTTTTATAGTTTTTTTTATGTTTCTGTTACTTTACGTTCAGGTTCTATTCTTCATGTCTTTATCAGTATCTCAGTCATCCTTTACTGTTTTCTAATATCTTCCCAATTTTCAGAATACTATTATTTCTGACAACTTTATTGGCATTTTCTTTTAATATTATACAATCCTTTCATTCCATTGTTAGCTATGATTACCTAAATTTTTATGCCTTGAAGAAACGTATGTTACTGTAAACCATATAACAATTCTGTAAAGACTATTCATTGTAAACCATCATAACTTTAAATGCATTTTCCCATTCTATATTAGTCACTTTGTCCCTCACAGCCTCATAATTTATTTTACTCAATTTAGCATCCTGACTTCAGATTGACCTATTTCACTTTCAAACATAATGTAAATTTCTACCCTATTATGGTTGCTCATCCTTAAATGTTCTCTTAGAACAAGATTATGAATTAGCACTGTTACATTACATAATGCCAGATCAAACCTGGTGTGTTCTCTAGTCAGTTCCTCAAAATACTGCTCTATTAAACCATCCCAAACACACAGAAGAAACTTATCCACAATAATGTTAGTGCTCATCAGGTTTACCCATTCTATGTGTAGATGGAAGTTACCCATGATTGCTGGATTACCCATGCTTTCTCTAATCTCCTGATTCGTTTCATAACTCACAGTACCACTATAGTCTGGCTGCCTATAAACAACTTCTAACACTTGCTGTTCCTTATCTGTACTCAGATTGCCCATTTTGTTCTCCATTTCTAAGATCCTCTCTTACTATCAATGCAACACCAACTCCTTTTCATTTTTGCTTGTCCTTTCCAAATGTAAAAGAGCTATTAGTATTCAGTTCCCAGACTTGATCACCTTGTAGCCATGCTAATATCTTTTACCATAACTCTGGGTCCTGGCTTTACCATAGTTTCTTCTAGCATTATGAAACAAGGGCTTTCTTCAGTATACTGCTCTAATAAACATCCCAAACACATACAAGAAACATCCACAATAGCATTAGTTCCATAGAAGCCAGGTGTGCAGGAGGGAACAACAGTAGATGAGAGGATTCCTAATGCTCGATGTGTTTCAGTAGTGGAGAGGCTGAGAAAGGCAATTATGTAGAGATGGAAATGAGTGGTGTATAAGGCCAAAAATCCCAGGTCCCATATCCCACTGAAATCCATCCACCAGGAACTTCCTAATACCATGAATGATGATATTCGCACCCTCATATCAGCTGGACAGATCACTGGATGCCAGTGCATGCTAAGTTGGATATGAATCCCATCTGGGGATGTGAGTATTAGAGCGTGGGTGTGGGAGGGATTGCATGGGTGCTGTGCTGGTGGTTCTTATTTGGTTTGCTGCTTGCTTTCACAAATGTAAAAGTGAAACTTTTTAAATGTTTTAAAGTATGATCCCTTGATAAACAAGTTATTTTGATTTTGTTTTGGTGGGGTTGGAGGCGGGAGGGGTCTGTATCCCAGCTAATCCCAACAGAGCATGGACCATATTTTAGGCTATGAGACCACTCATGCACCCAGGAGACATCCCATTGGCACAGGCACTTAATTTACATGTAAGTAAAGAGACCTCATCCTGCTCCCGAGAACTTTGACAACGTCAGTGTTGGAAATCCTAAGTGGATGGATCTCAATCAGTTTAGTAAAATGTATGTGCTGTAGATTCTGGGCTTCGAAATATGAGGTACGTGACAGTCTTTTGAGTACAGATGAGGAAAGTTGTCTGCATGGTAATTCCAGAATGTTCTTTTACAGATGACACTTATAGCAATTTTGGTTCTGGTCTGGCCTCATTACATGCAGTAGTCTGTGAATGAGCTCATCTAAAGGAATGACTGATCCCTCCAAATTTGATTCAGCAATTTTTTTCATTGTGAAATCCATATTCTGTCTTTATCTCAATATCTACCCTATATAAACTAAGTTTAATGTAGACAAACAGGAGGCTGGAAGAACACAGCAAGCCAGGCAGCATCTGGAGGAAAGAAGCAGTCAACGTTTCAAGTATAACCCTTCTTCAGGACTTCAGTAATGCAGTCAACACATTTTCTTTAACACGGTTTCATGGATTAAATGATCTTTCAAAATTTTTTCATCCCAAACCATTTTACTTGTATATTTCCAGTATCTTGTTACTTAAATGTGATTAAAATGTTAAAGAATTATATTTCTTGTTATAATTTTTCAAGTGGGAATACAGAATATTTCAGAGTTCTTTTTGAGAGGCCTTATTAATGGCTCATTTTCTCTTTTGTAATTCTGTGCTACAATGGTGCGACCATAACAGGATTAAGAGATTAAAGAAGAATCTTTGTGATAATGAATTCAAGAAATATCAACAATTTATAAAGTGTTCTGTCAGATTGCTGTTACATTGGCCTGATTTTGGACAGTACTAATATTGAAGAAATAGAGTCAAATAAGGGAAAATGAAGATAGAACAAGAACTGTCAGTTATAGCAAGGCATTGCAAATAGGATACAAGTCAGTAGTCAATGGCGGGAAGTTATGGTAGATTTGTAACAAGATGGTGTTGCCTGCATTTGGTAATTTTGTAGATTTTGATGTTGGGATATAATAACATACGTGGAAACTTTAAAACTGGTTGAATAATGGCAATAAATAATATGTCACCAACCTGTTCAAAAAACTAAATCCAATCCCTTTTATGGCAGAAAGCAACAAAGCTGCATGTAATCTTTATAAAACTTAGAAGAAGTAGAAAATTGAAGAAACATTCTTTCATTTAACAGCACAATTCCTCTGAGCCCAAGGCATAAATGATTGTGGTTTCTATGCCAGAAAACAGTGCAAATGACACTTAAAGTACAATTCATGTATAATGCTGGCACAACTCCCAAGCAGCTGGTTAAAATACCAACATATGCCATAAGAGCAATCTTTGTGAAAACACTGCCAAGCTTATGCTTTTGTGCAAAAAAGTTAAAAATTGCTCCAATAATTGCTATTAATGCTGGGATACTGAACATTGAACAGACAAGTTAATTTGTACTGAATTTTGCGCTGTACCGATTTCACAAAATTATCCTACAGGCAGAATAGAAAAGATGTAAATGATTCAGTATGGTGCCTTGTGATATGATGGATGGTGAAATCACAAAGGCTTCCAGATTTGCTGAACAAAGTTCCTTTTATTTAGTGTTTGAAATCATTTACAATCTTTTCAGCTGAGATGCAAATGGCCTATGCTTACAATTATTTACTCAGGCATTAAAACAGAAGATTCACGCAAGGGAAACTTGTATGAAGTTTGTGATAAGTCAGTTAAGAGACAACCTCCATGATATTTCCCCATTTAACTTTTAAATAATTGTAAGTTCTGTAAAAAAAATGATATAAATATTTTTTCTATTGAAATAATGACATTAAGGTGAGAACTATCAAGGTTATTTCAAACTAAATTTGGTACCAAAACAGCCACCTAGCTTGAATTTGAAAGTGTAGAAATCTGATGCTCAAACTCGTCAAATAGTGAATTTCATTGGTTGCAAAGGATTCCTGAAATTGCTTTAAATTTCCACAAGATGGCATAGGAAATGCACTGTCCGTTAATAGATTTAACTTTTCTACATTTTCAGCTTTACCTTTTAACCCTTACTCTCACCAATATAGTTTGGCATGCAGAAATTACTACAGGACATATTAAATTGGTTTTGGCATATTAAACTCTCTCATTATCTCAGTGTTTTTTGATCATTTTTATTTGCTGGGGGTGGTAATTAGAGATTTAAGTCAGTTTAACAAACCCTGTGGAGTTAAACAAATTCACAAAATGAATTAAAGTTAACATTATGGTTATTGCATATTTTTAGCACAGAGTCCTAAGCAAGTTCTTCAGCCATGTGACACTGAATATCCAGCCTTTGTGTCTGAACGAACTATCAAGGAAACCACAGGAGCAGTCAGCTGTGAAGGGTGCTACAAGTAAGGCATATTCCCACTTCTTTAATCTTGTCTTTGTACATATGCATAGGGGTCAATTTGTGTGTTTCATCAATAATCTTTCTTAATGATATTCTCACAAAATAAAAGAAATGTACTGAAAGAAGTGAATAATCATTCATTGTTGTTCATGAATAGCAAAATATTCAAAACTGTTCAGATAGTTAACATGTTGATGTGATATTTTGTTACATATTTGTGATGCTGCGTATCTCCACAAAGTTACTTTCAGTTTTTAGACAGGACATGGTTGTTTCCTCATGATTTATCAACTAAACTTGCAACTGAAGTCGAATTCTGCATTTCTTTTCTTCCATCCTCCTTTGAGCTGAAATGTCTTCATGTCACCAAATCAAATCGAGCTAGCTACAGAGAAATGCACTCAGGATTCAAGATTTAGGGTTAGCACTACATATAATCCTCGTTATCCGCAAATTCGCTACCCATGGGTCCACATACTGTGAGATGGTCCAGAGACCACATCTTTCTTTTCCCTTTGACTGTTCAGCTATGATCATGCAGTCCGTCACAGTAGGTAGGAGAATTACATTGTACTCGTATCTGCAGTTTTTTGTTATCCGCAGGAGGTCCATGCCTATATTTCCAATAGATAACATGGATTTAGGGTGATGCATGCAGTCACTTACGCAACTGGTATTGTCTTAGGCTTTCCTAGCGATGAAACATTTATTTTGTACATTGTGTAGTCAATGAAAACTAATAGTTTTGTCAGCAAATGTTTTTATTTAGAAAGTAAAGGTTTTATGTTTTAGGTTATTTAATTGCTATGATTTAACAAGCAGTATTCCATAGTTATTTTTGCAATGTAAGCTAGTTTGTAAAATCCAATAAAGCATGAACATATTGACACATTGTTTGTGCTTACATTTATGGTTACAACTGGTCAGTTAAGATGGAAGCCATATGATTTAGGGCACTTAAAACTTAATCCTAATTTCCTTTGCTTTTAGTTAAAATTATCAAAGATTAAAAATAGCTAACTACTTTTGAAATGGTTCTTTTAACAACTGTACCAAATGTTCCTATTTTAAAAGAACATTAAATGGATTTGGGCATGGTTTGCATGTTCACATTAATGTATGCTTAAAAAAGTTTTGCTTTTTTACTGTATCATAACCTGGTTAGCTGTGCAAAATATGCACAGCAAGTATTCCTTAATTAGCTGCAGGATTAAATTAGAAATATGACAATGGGTGAAGCTGCCATAAACTGTTCCTCTTCAATTTCAATGACAGGTAAACATGATAATTTTTTAAAGATGTTTTTGTTATGCCACTAAAATAAGTATTCAGGCTGCTCAATTATTATATCTCAGAGTTCTCCTTAAGGCTCATACGATTAACAACAACTCCACATGTACACTGGAAATACTGATGATTACTGTTTCAATGTTTTATTAGCCAAAGAACCAAAATGTTACACGATGATGATTTAAAAAGACCAAATTCCCTGGAAGTGGGGAGGGTAAGGGTCAATAGAAGCAGGTATTATCATAAAAGGAACTCTATATAAACATTTTCTGTCATGAAATCCAGTAATTGCAATAGATGAGTAATGTGCTAGTTTTAATCTTGGTGCAAAGATATTGCTGTGTGGCAAGTAGGAGACAAAATTATTACATAAATGGAAGGTTAAGTGCCTTCTGCTGTTATGTATAAACATGCAATGTGAGGCAGATTTTAACTACCATAACCAATTGGGTTTTCGACATTGTGGATCACAAGATGGATCACTTGTTGGATCCCTGACGGAATATGGAATTTAAAGATTGCATGATATTGAGATAAATGCAAGACAAATCTGCCAAAAATCTGGGATGCCAGATTTTAAGAAGCAGCAAAGCATAGTTAAAAGAATGATAGCGGGAGATAGTTCTTTATGAAAGAAAGCTAGCTCATAATGTAAAAACAAGTAGTGAGAGTTCCTTCAAGTATTTAAATTGGAAAAGAGAAGTTAACGCTGGCCCACCAGAAAATGAGACTGGAGAATCAATAATGGAAAGCAAGGTAATCGTGGAGGCGTTGAACAGATATTGTGTGTTTGTCTTCATTGTAGAACATGTAGAAAATTTTCCAAATCTGTTTCAAAATCAAGAGGTAAACAAGAGAGAAATGTAAAACAATCACCATCAACAAGGAAAAGCTGCCTGGAAAACTACTCAACCTACAGGCTGACAAGTTCCAGATGACCTACATCATAGGGATTTAAACAAGAAGTAGCTACAGAAATAGTAGATGCATTGGTTCTAATATTCCAAAATTCCTTAGAATCTGGAAAAGTCCAAGAAAGAATGAGAACAGAAAACAGGAAACTATATGCCAGTTGAGCTAACATCTGTCAAAAGGCAATTGCTATAATCCATTATTAAGGAGGCTACAGCAGTATGTGTAGCAATTCATAATGTTGACTTTTCAGTATCTCATTACCTTATGAAAGGGAAATCATGTTTAATTAGTCTATGATAGTTTTTTAAGGTAGCAAGAAGCAACGTGGATATAGGATTACCTATTGATGTGGTCTACTTGAATTTGATAAGCTACCAGATGAAGGTTTCTACACAAAATGGTGAAAAGGATAGCATGGATAAAAGAATATTGTTCATTAACAGAAACAGTGAGTAAGGCTAAGTGGACATTTTCAGGTTGGCAACTGTAACTAGTGGAATGCCAAAAGGATCATTGCTGGAACCTCATGTTGGTGCAATCTATATCAGTGGCTTGGATGGAGGGACCAAATGTGTAGGAGCTAAATTTGCTGATGACACTAAGATAGTTAGGAAAGTAAGTTGTCAAGAGGAGGTAGAAAGCCTGCAAAGGGATATAAATAGGTTAAGATTAAAAGATCACACTTGTAAGATGGAAATGAAGTGTTTTTTTTCTTCTGAGAGGTTTTTAGTATGTGGAAATATCTTGCCAAAAGGTAATGGAGGCTGAATAATTGAATTTATTCAAGGCACCATTGGATAGATTGTTGATGTACAAGCTGGGAGCCAGACTGAGTGGGATTGAGACCACACCAGATAGCATGATGTAATGGAATGGTGAAACAGGCTTGGAGGGCAAGTGGCCTTCTCCTGCTCCTAAGATCTATGTTTTTTATAGTACATCAAGTCCATTTAACACTAGGCTGGAGTTTCAGGTGACACACACTGAGACCTCACATCCAGAGTACTCTGTGCAGTTGCGTCTCCTTTTCTGAGAAAGGATGTTCTGGCTATGGAGGGAGTCTTTTAACTAGACTGATTCCTAGGATGGCAGAACTGGCATATAAAGAGAAACTGGATCAGTTATGATTATATTCTTAGGCATATAGAAGAATGAGGACAGGGGGTGGAGTCTCATAGAAACTCGTAAAATTCCAACAGGGCTCGTCAAGGTAAATGCAGGATTGATGTTCCCAGTAACTGGGGAATTCAGAACCAGCGTCACAGATTGAGGATATGGAGTAAATCATTGAAGTACTGAGATGAGGAGAAATTTCTTCATCTAGGGAATATGCGCCCATAAAATTCTCTGCCACTAAAAATGATTGAAGCCAAAACATTGTTTTCAAGAAGGAGTTAGACACAGTTCTTAGGGATAAAGGGATCAAAGGATATGGGGAGTAAGTGGGAACCGGGTACTGAGTGGGATTATCAGTCGTGGTCATATTGAATGGCAAAGCAGGCCCAAATGGCCCAATGGCCTACTAGTGGCCTATTTTCAATGTTTCTATGTTTCCTTCTCCGAATGGAAAGAGAAAGTGTGCTGGTATGTAATAGGTGCCAGTTTTCTACTTGGCAATAAAAATTAAAATCAGCCCAACATTGCTAGGAAATATTTGTTACCTGTAGCAACAGCTTTAATTTACATTTATTTATGAGGCATTGAGGAGCCTGCCTGCCAGCTGGAGAGCTTGTATTGAGGTGACCTGCCAAAGCCACACACTACTGAGGCAGATGTGTGGCCCCAGCCCTGTGGGTGATGCTGGCTGGAAGCATTTATTGCCAAACCCTAATTCCCCTTGAGAAGGTGGTGGTGAGCTGCCATCTTGGACTGCTATAGTCCATTTGATGTAGATGCACCCACAGTATTGTTAAGAAGGAAGTTCCAGGATTTAGTCCAGTGATAATGAAGGAGCAGCAAGACATTCCACATTGGGATGGTGAGTGGCTTGGAGGGGAACTTGCAGGTGGTGGTGTTCCCATGTATCCTTCTCAGCAGTAGACGTCCCAGGTTTGAAAGATGCTGCCTAATGAGCCTTGGTGAATTTCTGCAGTGCTTCTTGTCGGTGGTACATATTGCTGCTAATGCGCATCAGTGGTGGAAGAAGTGAACATTTGTGGATGTGGTGCCAATTAAGTAAGCTACTTTGCCCTGGATGGTGTTAAGCTTCTTGAGTGTTGTTGCACTCATCAAGGCAAGTGGGGAGTATTACAGTCATGACTCCTGCCTTCTAAATGGCGGATAGGCTTTGAGGATCAGGAGGTGGGTTACCTGAAGCAGAATTGCCAGCCCCTGACTTGGACTTGTAGCCACAGTACTTTTGTTGCTGGCCCAGTTCAGTTTCTGGTCAATGGTAATTTCCAGGTTCCCATCAAACAGATCTTATCAAACATCAAAGGCAGAGTTACCAAGAAGACCTAGCTACATGAAGAACCAATGGTGGATTGAGAAAGTTAAGGGGTTGCAACTCCTTGCTGACAAGCAAAACACTGGCAGTTTCTTCAGTGCCACCATGGCAACATAAAGATCCAACATCCTTGGCCTAACACTGATGCAGAGTAAGGATTAAACCCTTTGGAGACACACAGAAAACATCAACCTCCAATAAAGAGAACACTTCAAATAACTCTTAAATTGCGATACAGTCATTAATGAGGATGTGTTTGAGGAAATCTCCCAACTCTTCTTCAAAAGTGATCTTGGACTCCCACCTAGTGTTGCAAATGTTGAAGTTGCCATTAGACACATGAAGAATGG